GTTGTTGATTTATTTGCTATTGGTTTCAATGGGGAAAATACACATAAATGTAAAAATTAGTTGTTCCCCTATAGGACCCCATAGGTTTTAATAAAATTTTCTCAAATGTTTTATGGTTGTTCTATAGAGATATCCCTATATATACCCTTCATTGAGTTATTTGCTATCGGTCTCAATAGGGAAAAGTTATGGTGTGCCTATAGGTAATTTCCTATAAATTTTCTATCGGGCCGTATCCGGAAAAAACCATGGACAAATGCACATATTGAATCCGGTAGCGCCCGATAGATTATTTTGTATAGGTCTCTATGGGGTATTTTAAGCAGGGCAGGTACTTGTAAAAGTGTTCGACTGACTTTACCACTGCCAACAACTTGCGTCGAGTAATGCAGTTATTAAATTCTAGCTTGAATCTACTTGAATCTGCGAAAAAACAGCTCCCAGGCCCACGTTGCTGTCGTCCGTATCCAAAATAAATCTACCACCCTGGAAAGGATAACTCAGGACCGGTGAGCTGGTCAACGTGTTTTTTTAAGTCCTTAAAGGCTTCTTGACACTCGTCGTCCCATTGGAATCGTCTCTCTCCATCTGTCAAACGTGTCAAAGGCTTAGCATAATCCAAAAAAGCTTTTTAAAACATGTTTATTCTTCGGCATTGGCCATTCCTGCACCGTCTTCACCTTCTGTTTGTCCACTGCCACTTCTTGATTTGAAATAACATGGCCTAGTTACTGCACTTTCTTATGGAATAAGAGACATTTCTTCGGGCTAAGCTTTATGCCGGAACTTCTTAAGCGCTGAAAAACTTCCTACATGTTCCTCATATGGACCTTAAAGGATTTCCCAACCACAATTATGTCGTGAAGGTACACCAAGTATGCCTTCCAAGATAGTCCCTTTAAAACAATTTCCATGAGCCTTTCAAAAGTTGCAGGTGGATTACATAGTCTAAAAGCATGACGGTAAACTGCCACAGTCCTGCACTCATTGTAGTGCCATTTTAATCTTCCAGTAACCGCTCTTCAAATTCAAAGTCGAAATATTTGTGATCCAACTAGAAGTAACTGAATATGCTTGCCGGACCAAGCGTGCAATATCAGCCACGAATTCTTTCAGAGTCTGGAAAACTTAAAAGTTGCATATTTTATTTATACAACAAAAACAAAAATACAATTTTTAAAATAACAAATATTTTAAAATATAAAACATATCTATTTTGAACAAATATATCTATATTTATATTTGAATAACAAATAATTACTACTAATTACGTAAATGTTCGAAAAGGGCCTCCGTTTTGATTTTTTGTGGCTTTGGTCTGTGGTCACCATTTATATAAAATTAAAAATTACAATAAAAAAATAAAACTAAACTTTCTACCAATAAATAGGAAACGTACAAAAGATTAACAGGGACACACTCTTTTCGTTCTAGGCCCTATTAGAACATTTTTTTACTACACACAATAGGACGGCCATGAAAAACAGGTTTTAGAAAACAATAGAAAAGATAACAAATTTTACAATGGCCTATTCAAATGTATATTTTTTTTGTACATTGCATATTATTTCAGGGATTATATTTTTCACCGCAGAACAATTTTTGCACGAAATTCATTTAAACTGTGTGCCCTGTTATGTTCATGTCTATACTTTGTATTTTTTATATAACCCCAAAGATAAAAATCGCAGGGTTCTAAATCAGAGGATCTAGGGGGCCAAGAAATCGCCCTGTTGTAGAAATTAATCTATTCGGAAAAGTAGCATTCAAAAACTTGAATTTTGAAAAATGGCAGCCCAAACGTTTAGTTTTTGGGGGTACTGGGTCATACAGGCAGTGACAGATGCAGATTTTCTCAAGACCAATATCGAGAATTTTCAGAGTTATCTGTTCCATATAATGCAAAAAAAAGGCTCATCCGAAAAAAAAATATTTTTAATAAAATTCTCATCGTGGTAATTTTTGTTTCTTATAATTTAATTGTTTAATTGTAGCCTCCTCCCTTATTCTTCGGAAAATATCTTTTGGTTGGTCATCAGCTTAAAACTTTTATATTTATTGCGTTTTAAAATGTTTCTCACTGTTTGTTTCGTAGGGATTGGGAGATATGGAATTTTTTTTTAATTTGGAGATCCATTTTATAGCAGTAGTAATAGATATTTAACTCAATATTTATGAAATAATAGCACTTCTCTGCTTCTTGAAGAAGCAGAGAAGTGCTATTATTTCATAAATATTGAGTAAAAGATATGGAAATGTAAGAGAAAAACTTTCAAGGGCTTCGTCCACACCCTGTGTTGAAAACCATATGATAAGAGTCCTTTTATTTGTGGTATAAATGTACATTTTCAAAATAAATTATAAAAATCTCTTTTCATCTCAAATACTAGCGTCCCTTACTGTAACAGGTATTTGCACGATCTACGCGGCCAAAATTATTTGTATGCTTAATTGGTATCTAAATAACGTAAATAAATAAAAAAAAAACTTATTTTACAACAAAATTATGTATTTTCCAAAAAAATTATATATTTACAAAAAATACAAATTTAAGGTCTGTGAAAAGGAAGAAAAACATAATAATCTAAGTTTCTTGACTTCCTTCTTCGCTCTCTGATGAATGTTCTGATTTTTTACAGTTCGCATGCAACAGGATCTGAACTAAGTAGAATGCTGATTACAATTTTCCCTGGAAAATTTTCTCGCAAAATCTTGGCGGTATTATGATCTCCTTATCAAAATTAGAACGAAGTTCTTCCAACTTTCGTCTTTTGCTCCTCTCACTTAACTTCAAACGACTTGAATGGACGATTTTCTAAAGTCTCAACAACAGGTATTTTAAAAGTACCTTCCAGCCATGACCGATTGTATTATATAAAATGATCTTCTTTATAATGAGCTTTGGTCCACCTTTGTTTAATTTCAGATTTGAAATTGACAAAACCACGTTTCAAACTAAAAATTTGGTCTTCATTATAATCTTCTCATGACATAAGTTGATCTTTTAGATAGTTTAATTTGGCATCTAAATTAGTAAAATTTTCTTTCTTTATGCAGTCAAACAAGTATTGTAAGGTCACAATCCATACTTCTGATACACCCTCTGAGCCTAAAACAAACACTACACTATGTGAAAAATATTTAAAATTGTATACGAAATTTCGCTAAATATCTTTAATCCCTCAAAACTGTATTTATCCGGATGTTTCCAAAGATGTTTTTGATAGTAGTTATAAGGAAAAAAATCAAATAATGACCTATACTAATAGCGATAGCCCGATCTACCCGGATACATAAACAAAAACACTAGTAAAGAAAAAATATTGAAGGAAATCACGGTACGAAAATAAGTATTTTCATACTAATTAATAATGTTGTTTAATAGTAGATCATGACTTAATCAATGTAATTTGTAAGTTTCTTACCTTGTCCTTTAGAATTCATCACTTTCAATTCGTAACAAGAACTTGATAACATAAAAATTCACTTTGGAAGTAGATACGTACACTATGTGAAACTATCAAATGCGGTAGCAGGTAGATTGATTAACCGAATTGTTCCCGGGTTGGTACTATCTTCATGGAACTCGTTTATAAAAATGTTATTGTAATTTTGATATTGGGACTTTTGGCCACGTAGATCGTGTAAATACCTGTATGTAGGCCTACATCCCATTAAATTGCCATGGATAATACGTCCCCCATAGCCCTTACAACTTTTTTTTATGTTTTAATAAATTGATAACAAAAAAAAAATCAAGACCTATTTTCTTAAATAATAATAAAAATAAACAAAAATGTAATACTCAAAAAATTACTTTTGTAACCGCTATAGTGATACACTTTAAAATCAACACTGCAATTTTTCACCAATAATTTTAATATTATTTCTTTAGGGACGTGCATATAAATCATCACAACTTGTCTGGTTGATTGCATTTACAACGCAAAGCGACATAAAAAATATATACAAAATATCCCTTGCGGCCTTGAGTTTACGGTTTATTCACCGTGAATTCACTGTGAATTCACCGTGAATAAACCGTCTGTTTGTGACATTTGTAAACGGTAGTTAGACGGTGAATTCACGCACTTTTCACAGTATTTTAATTGTGAATCCACCGTATTTTGGCGGTATATTCACGGTGAATTTACGGTGAATTCACGGTGAATAAACAAATAATAATAACACAATCGACTATAGCTAGCCATTATTCGTTACTGAGCAGATGAGGATGGAGATGGGGACTTCAAATAATTAATGTTCAGCTATGCCATTACAGACGCACACTTCCAACTAAATATTGCAACCCAACGCTATTTATAGTTAGCTTGCTTGCGTAAGCAGCCGTGAGATGTATTGCTTAAACCGCTTAACACAGAAATCGAAATCGTCTCAACCTCGTTGATTTTGCGCAGCTACACGAGAGCTCTCTTGCGATATTTGTATTGTATTGGGAATAACCAATTAGCAGATTGTTCGTATCTTACACTTACAATTTGCGGTACTTTCACAGTGAATTTGCGGTGATTTTGCAAACTTGAGTTTACCGTGAATTTACCGTGAAATCACCGTGAATTAACCGTGAAATCACCGTGAATTTATCGAAAAAACAGCGTGAGTTCACCGTTTAATTACCGTTTACAAATGTCACAAATGGACGGTATATTCACTGCACATAAACGGTGTATTCACGGTGAATTCACCGTAAACTCAAGGCCGCAAGGGATATAAAACCGGCTTAAAATAAGCAGCAGTTAATATAAATAATATTAATATTATTATTATTATGGGATTAAAGTAATAATACATGCACTTATAATATATATCTTAGTAGGTATACGTATACGTTTTCTTAGGGACTTTATACCCCAGTTTGCCGATCACTGGAATATTACTGATCGGTGGGTTAAACCAGTTTTCTTTTCTGTTGGCACTTAAACGCTTTTGAATTTATCTTTTTCCTATATATATACCCTCTAAATATATATTTTTTTAAGTTGCCAGAGGTTAAATTAAAAAATCCTATGGATGTAACAGTGGCAGTTTGGGAAAATCTAAGCTCTGAATTTGGATTAATTCAGTTGGAATATTCGATAGTGCAAGAATCTATTACGGTAAACAATATTATACTTCTCTTAATTTTTCAAACATATTTTTTAAAGGGTAAATGGAGTATAGAAGCAAACAGCGAAACCACTAATTTTGAAATCGATAAATATGTTTTACCTAAATTTGATGTTAAAGTTTTTCATCCTAGGGTAATTTATTACGAAGTAAATCAAATGATTGTAAAAGTTTGTGCAAAATATAGTTACGGTAAACCAGTAAATGGATATGGGCTTATTAAAGTTATGGACTCTCAATCTAATATGGCAACATTGTATAAAAGGAACAGGGTATGTTATTTAATATTTTAAAATTCAATTGTGTATTTCACATTAATCACTATACTTTCTATTTTTTATAGTTTAAGTGCAGTTTTTCTAAGCATGAATAACCGCCCACAGTAATTTTTGGATAAATATAGAAATTGTATGCTATAAGTTCCCAGACAGCAATATGACGTCTTAATTAAGTCTGCATAAGCTCTATTTTATGATTTGGACGTCAAATACAACATCAGAATAGTATATTCTGTAACAAGTTTGGAATACAGCATATTCCGCTCGAGTGAAGAGTTTATCACAGGAGCCGAAGGCGAGTTTGACGGTTTTACGAGAGCGGAATATGCAATTCCAAACGTGTTTCAGACTATACTTTTTCTACGTTTCCAAAAAATACCATAGAAAAATAATTTAATTGGAAGAAAGTGAGGTTGGATCGGTCTAAAATTTGTTAGATATTAAAAACAGAGATGTCGCCACGAGTGTTTATTCTGTCATCAGATTCCATAGATAAAAGTGATATTAGAAGGGTCAAATTCTGTAATAGGAGTAGAAAAAGAAGTTTTTAAGAAGTTCTTAAGACTTCGAATGCGCAACCTATTGAATTAATCAAGACTCCTCAAAAAAGAACTCTTGAGGAACCCTTTTCTTTGACTTCGCAATTAAGCATTTTAAAGAGTCCTACTGTATAAACTTATAAAAAGACTTCTTTAGAATTTCCCGTTTTGGATATTGAAGTACTACTAGAGTACTGATGAAAAAATTACACACTGGATCGTTGCTATTTTGACATGTCAAGTCATTTTAATTTGCTCATATTCGCTTATTTTTGGAATTGCGATTACTTCGTCTCACTTTTGTTTAAATTCAAACGTGCTCTTCACCGGCACCGATAGACGGCCTGTTTCGCTCTTTTGAAGCTCGTCAGTATCGGGTAGCCGTTTACCAGGTCTAAGACCGTTTGGTATGAAGCACCCTCTAAATTCTACTTCGTCGCTTCTTATATCAAACACAAGCAGTTACAGCGGTGAGAAGGAAGTAATCGCATTAAAATGTCATAAATGTGACGTCTCTATGTTGACGTCTTAAAAAGTTAATAATATTATTTCAGTAAGAAGTAAGAAAAGAGAATACTGTAAGATATCCTATAACTGAAGTCTTATTTATGATACCCTTAGTAGCTTCTAATTTTGATTCCAATAAGAGGTAAGAAAAAAAGATACTTTAAGATGTTAAAAAATTGACTTCTCATTTATGAATTCATCAAGAACTCTAAATCTTGGGCTCCTAAAAATGATTTATCTAAGATGTCATATTGTGACCATGGTAAGATGTTTTTCAACAGACTTCGTATAAAAATCTTTCTGAACTGGATGCTGTCTGGGTTATAGCCTATAGCTCACCAGTATACTTATAAGCATATGTAAATAATAATATACTTTCAGAATACTGGGGGATTTAGGGTTTAGGACAAAATTAATGCAAAATTTTTTATTTAAGTAGTCAGAAACTTACCTACTTGGAGTGTTTTAAAAGTAACTGATTTAATAAACTATTTAAAACAAATCATTTTTTTTAAGTTGACTGATGGTTGCACAAACTTCCTTTTATCAAACTACGAACTAAATTTAGAAAATATTCCAAAATTAAATCCTTACGACCCGAAAATATACGTCCACATAACAGCCACTGTAACGGAGGATGGTACAAGCAGAATACAAATGTCCATGGTAAAAACGTTGGTTGCATTAAAGCCTTACGGTATAAAATTAATTGGAGAATATGTATTTTTACCAGGAATGCCCTATAAGGGCAAATTGCAATTAATAAATATTCATGTGGATCCAAAAGAAGACGTTTTTGAAATTTGTTATAGTTTTGCCATAAATAAAAGTTGGAATTATGTGGATGAGCAATGTTCAAATTTTACTATAGACAAAGAGAGGTCCATTGACTTTAATATATTACCACTACAAAGTAAAGTGGTTCATATTAATTTAAGTGTAAGTAATTAAATTATGTTTAGGTTTATTCTTGCCTTTGCTATATTACCAAACAAATTTTTAAAACAAATTTTTAGAAAATGCTGTATATCTAATCGAATCCATTTTATATCCTTTGGAGTTTAATATATCAAATCAAATATTTTGGGTAAAAACTGGTAAAATGTAACGTTTGAGCGTAAGGGAAAATTCACTGTCTACAAATTTACTGCAACGACTTATAATGTTAATATGGATTATTATATAAAAAACATAAAACTATATAATAAATACGAACGTACTTGGAATTTGAGAATTAATAAAGCTTTATTTTTTTTAAAGAAGTACCTACTATATATTTTTTCAAAATTCTTCCTATTGGTTTATTTCATTTAATGGTGTTATTTTAAACGCACGCACAAAACCAGGCCAGGGAAATTTTATTTCTCAAAATGTGGGAATCCCTCACTGCCTGTAGACATACTTTTTCTTCACATCTATGGTAACGAAAAGAAGAAATGCATTAGGATCCCACTAATGTGGAGAGATAGCCTGTGCCTAAACCTGATATATCGATAAAAACAAAGGAAATACTCTAGGTGGGTACTCCAGGTGGCACTACGACATTCCTTAGCCAGGCCGAGCCCTTAGGCGACCTTGTCTACCTCGCAACCTCCCAAACTGCTCCATTATTTAAAAATAAGAGCGGTGCTGAATATAAGCGTCGAAGGAAAGCCCAAATGAAGGCTCTGGCATAAGCTAGTCTAGCTTAGCTAGAACCTTTAAATCTGGAAAGCCGATGCTAAGATTGTATACAAAGGGCTGACAACGAATTAGATCTGATTAGTCCGTCTCTTCCCCCAGCTTAAATTTGCAGAAACAGACCGTCAGTCTGATAACAAGAGCATACAGCGAACAGCTACTGCGCATCTGAAGGTCGACATTATTAATAGGACCGACCTATTTAGTAAAATGTGCAAAAAACACATACTTCCACAAATATAAAAATCATTTCTAACTGAGACTGTTTCCTTTTTTGGGATTAAAGTAGGGGAAGTGAGAATTACACGGGTGATTGCAGTGAGGCGCATGCGTGGCCGCATTGCCGGTTAAAAAAAAATAACATATATATGTATATTTTTTTGTTCCTATTTGGGAAGAATAATAAATACTTTTTAAATGTATATAAATTGTATGAAAAAAAAGCATTTAACAATAATAAACACACAAAATGATGATATTTTAGATTTTATTATGGCATGTTTATAACAGGAAGAATTTGGCAACGTCGTATTCCTAACACGATAGCCAAAAGATTTTTATCATAGGCATTTACATATATATATTATATATGTAGAAGGTTTTTTTAATAAAGCATTTTGTTTGTATATTGTATACCAATTGTTTTGGCATTGTTTTTTTCCATTGTGTTTCTAGTGATTTTTAGTGGCTTCTTCATAATATGCATATTATGCCACTTTTTGCTTTTTATAAAGCCAAACCACAGAAATGTATGTAAGCTTAACCTAGGCGATGTAAGCAAATGATTTAGAAACATTTAATTTAACCTAAATTTTGTTTAGTGAACAATTCGTACCATACGTGGGCGTATTAAATTAATACTATTAATAGGTCTATGGTATCATATATTTTAAATCCCCCACTTAAGAACTGGCGCATAAGGTAAAATGATACGGCAAATCAACGAATCTCCCCTCAAAAAGAAAAAGCATATATTATTATTAATATTATTATAACGTTTTTACTGTTCGTAGTGTAAATTAAAACTATTTATTTGCACGTATATTTATTTTTTATCGCGAGTACCAAAGCTTGACTGACTGCCTCATGCAGCGCCGTTCCTTATATATTCAGTGCATACGTTCCAGAATATTCCAGCGAGCTCCACACAGCTCTCGATCGCTCGAGCGCTGACTCACCGGCGATGACTCATCGGCAATGAGTCATCATTCCGAGATCCAGAGCCGTACTCGCTACATTATTATCTATTGGCATGGCAAAACTACTTGGTGCAGTCGAAAACTTCCTATTTTCAGAACCTCCAGCCACCGTCCTTACTTCAGAATGGGGTTTGCAGCCACCGCACAGTACTACCAAGCGCTCAAAATATGAATTTGTGAGCGAATTTATCGAATAATTATTATAAGGGTTTTTTTGGGTCAAGGATTTTAAATTTGAGGTTAAATTTTTTAAAAACAAAATGGTGGACTTAACATGGCTGCCCACTTTTGTGCAAGAGGTTTTCGAGGTCAATGGCTCAATAAAAATGGCCGACTAGTTTAATCATTCTCCTAATAACCAGTTAAAGAGGGCAAGACATTTAAATAAAATTTAAATTTAATTTGATTATTTTTCATGTGTTTTATAGGATTTTAATTTACACATCAGCCACAGGTCTCCATTCATAAAACGATACATGTCTAAAAAAATTGTTGAGTAGCAAGTATTAGCCTAAAAGTTATATTAGGTAGTAATCACAGATAAAGACGGAATTTAATCACGACAAAACATCCCTGCTAAACTCCGACAACTTTTTATAAGTATATCCAAATCTATTTTAAATTTTTCAAAAGAAATACACACCCTATTTATATGTAATTCAATGTAAACAAAATGTATATATGTTTATTTTAATTAAAAGTACCCTAACAAAGTTAACACAGTTTACTACAAATGCAGATTTTAAAAAACAACAATGCCTTAAACTTTGTCTAACAAATTTCTCAAGCTAACTGGCCTCCGACCTAAACTTCAAATTGTCGGGCTTTTGTCTGATTAAAAGGACACGCAAATAAAAATTTTAATAAAGATTTTGGAGTTTAAAGTATGTATCTAGAAAAAAAACAAATCTTGGCCAACAAATTTCTTTCTAGGAACCAAAGTGCATATTTTTACTGCGACGCTGCACAGTATACTATTTACTCGATCTAGAGAGACAAAAATCGATATCAGACTTAAAGGATTTGAAATGACCCAAAGTCTTCATTAATACTAATGTGATGATAAGGGAAGCAAATAAAATTAATTTTTGATAATTAGGTATATAAAATTTATTCTATTTTAATAGCAACTTTAAATCAGTAAAATGTTTAAAATTGCTTTTTTTTTTGGTAATTTTCTTAACAATGAAATATATGGATCGGATGACACAAGCAAATACTTAATTAAATCAAAATTTGTGCGAACCCGAGAAGTTTTCAATGTGTGACCCAGTCTGACTTTGCGGATTTCTTTGTTTTTGGCCTCCGAAGCCTCTTCGGACATTTGTCCTATTGGAATGACAGAATGTCTCATTATCTCAGCTCCATGCACTAATATCTTGTGCATTGTAGCTGGCATATTATACCATGGATATAACGATATATATAAATCTCGCGTTTCCGAGCAGTAAGTGTTAAATTTGTCTGAATCAATATCATAGCCAGAAGCTATGGCTGCAAGAACTGTACCCAGACGTAATAGCAAATTTTCATCGAGGTTGGTGATACGGGCAGTTTCTTTATACTCGTGAAAAAACGTTCTTGCGGTATTCCCATCGTTACTCGTAAGTAATATCATAAGGGCATTTAATTTTTCCGAAAAGAATCGAAAAAACACTTTGCTAAGTGATATTTTAACAAAAAGCATGAGTGCTGGTGGCAACAAAAATCCGAGTCGAAGAGGAGGATTTTTGCACCTGCACGAATGCTTTTTGTTAAAAAATATTACTTAGCATTGTGTTTTTTCGATTTTTTTCACAGGAAAAATTAGATGCCCGAATGGTATTTGACAAGACTATTTCATGAGTAACAGTTAACAATTAAAATATAAATTGCAATTTTTGGTGACAACATCTGTCAAGTTTTGCCGCGGGTAAACTCGGGTAAAAACTGCTGACAGGTGCTGTCACACAGTTTTTTCACCTAGAAACCATTTGTAATTTAAAATTGCGCGTTTGTGATTGGTGGAAATTAAGACGAGGGAAATAGTCGTTCCAAAACCCGGTTTAACTTTGTCTATAATGAGACCGATTTCTTTAAATTTTGCTTTGATTTCCTCCTTTTTCTTTTTAAAAATTTCTTTATTTTTTTCTCCCCTGACTTGCCACTCACATATGTTCATTCGGTACGTGATATGTAGTAAGCATTCCATTGTGCGGATTTAAGCATGAAGGCTAGATATCCCAAACCGATACATAGTTTGATTAGGCTCTCTTGCAATTACTGTGGAATTCATCTCTTTGGGTGTTGCTTTGCAGATGAAACATGCTGGAGTGGACTTATTTTCGGAGAGCGCGTTACATACTTTTCCGTCTATCATCGACAAAATTAATTCGTGTTTTATAGAGATATAAACTCCATCTATTTGTGCAACAGTAGGCACCGACTCCCGAATTTGTTTCTCTATAGCTTCACATTCTTGTTTAATTAATGACTCTGTTTCTTTTTTATATAAAAACTTTATAGTTCTGCAGAATCTTGGTGAAGATGGGCGTGGATTTTCCCATATGATTGTCTTACTGGCATCGTCAGTATCTCTCACAAGTCTTAATGGCACCATCGACACCACAAACATATATTCATCTGTATCGTTAGAATTTTGAAATGACTGCTTGTATAAGCTGTGACCTGAGGAGCCATCACATCCCCACTTGTATATCATTGTGTAGTTCGAGCCGTTTACGTCAGGTTTTAATACGTCTCCAAGAATATTTTCACATATTCTTGTTGCAGTATGACTTAAAAGAGCTTGCAGCTCAACCTCAGCGTGTACGTCTGTCAGGGTGAATTTTTGCTCAGAAGGGTAGCACTGTTCTTTCACTTTTGCTACTTGATCATAGCATGGGTAAAGACGGAATCCCCTTCCTTTTGACTCATGTTGTATATTCTTATATTTCTGCACAGTGAAATTATTGAAAATAAACAAAGCCAAAGCTTCCTCCGGGGTATAAGGCCGTTGTTTTTTTACATTTATTTTTCTAGCTTTTTTAAAGCCAGTAGCCCGTTTCGGTGAAGCTGTTGAAACTTCCTGAATTAAACTAGCAGCGTCGCGTTTTCCGCTGGCTCGCACACTCAATTGGGCTGCAAAAGATAGCTGTTCAACGTCATATTCTTGCAACAAATGTTGAATTTTACGCTTTTTCGTTTTTGTGGAACTATCTTCAAAACTCTTTTTAGGTCTACCTATACTGGAACTTGGTTTTGGGGACTGTTCATGGAACATTGTAAGCACCAATTCTTCATTTAACCATTCTTCGTTGGCCTTTAAAAATAAGTCCAATCGTCTCTTTTTGCGAAGCCATTTAAGGCGAATCTTCTCGCATTCCTTTTTTAAAAAGTTTTTTAAGGTCTTCTCCTCATCTTGTGGAAGGATCAAATTAACAAATCTTGACTTGAAAAATATCAAAACTTGATCTAATCTGCCTTTGGACGGGGTAGAACGCCAAAAGTCAAATAGTAATTTTCGTCGAATTCGGGCACCTGTAAAGATATAAATAAGAAATATTTAGAATCGCAATGAGTCGCATAACCAAATTATGCTTTCTAGAATCTAATCACGCCTTGACTCAACTTGACTAACAACTTTAAGTCTATGTGAATTTATCTTTTATATGTTTTTGTTGTTCTATGAAGGGTCTTTTTTAAGACAATATAACTAAGTCTTCAATAATATTTTGGTTTATTAAAAATAATTAAAATATAGATAATTGCCTCGAGTTGAAGAATCCATCACTAAAAAGCACTTAAAATCACACGTGCTAATTCGCCAACGTTTACGATGACACTGACAGCGGGCGATTATCTGAATTTGATACGGTAACTTCGATACATTGTTATTAAGAGGACCGCGGTGCAAAACCTGGTTCTGAATGCATCATCGGTTAAAGGGTTAGTCTAATTATATAATAATACTAAGAAAAAGTTCGGTTTTAATATTTTAATATAAAGAGTTTTGTCTCTCTAGATTTAGTAAATCGTATACTGTGCGCTGCGGGAAACCATTTATAGTTGTTCGCTCCTGTGGGAAGTACATAAATTTAAACTATCCGCTACTCTGTGAATTCTCGACTACAAGAATAAAGTGCACTTGGTAATGAGGCGCCTAAGATTAGACGATTGGTTTGCCCAGAAATATATAGCTCAAACCGATAACATATACCTCAATAAAAAAGAAATAAATTGGCAACATATAAAGTAAAAAAAAATTACAAACTGAATGGGCCCTATCATAAATAAGTTTTAATAGTCGATCTATCTTAATATTAATTATTTCACTGTCTATAATAAATTAAGTAATTACATACACTTTAAATAGTAACCTAATAATTTATTAGTAATACAGGATGGGGCCAATATCTTAAGATTCAAAGATTCAAAAATTTAGACAATGTCTACCTTCTTAACTATAATTAATTTATATTTCAGGCAAGATCCTTAAATTATATAAATATCCTGGACAATCTTTTGGTTTTAAGACAATATTCCTCAAGCAATCGATATTTTCATATAGAAAACGTATCAAATGATTTCAAGTGCAACAAAAATCAAAACTTTATTATTACTCTAAGGAGAGATAAATTTACTACCAGAGAAACAATAAAATTCTATTATATTGTAAGTAAAAAAATTTATATATCCCTAAAGTTAATAGTTGATTTTAAGATTAAATCAAAACAACAACTAAATAAAATTGGTAAATATGTTTATGTGGTGGATACAGCAGTAAACGCGTCTTCCAGTTATTTAAAAAATGTTATTGGAAACAAACATAAATATAGTAAAAATGGAATTTTGAACACCGCAGAATTTACATTGGATTTTGATTTAAACTCTCCGATTTTAACAAGCTATCAACTGTTGGTTTACTTTGTTACCAAAGGAGGAGAAACAATAGCTTCAATGAAGAATGTTGATATAGAACCATGCTTTAAAAATAAAGTAAGTTCCTACATAATTATAATAAAATTTTAATTTTTATAAAATATATTTTAGGTAACTGCACATTGGCTTCAAAATCGTATGTACCCGGGTTCAATTGCAACTCTAAATTTAAAATCCAATTCTGATTCTCTTTGTTCCATTTCATCAGTGGATAAATCTGTTTTCTTTATGAGTAATCCACATTTAAAACTTGATGAACATTTTTTGGTAAAACCTTTTATGAAGGAGAGGGATTTTGCTCCTACATCTAGAAAAATTTGTATACCGCCTACCAAGAAACTACAAAGAAGTAGGTATAATAACTAATTTTATAATGAACACAAAAAAATTCACACCAATATATCATACTGAATCCAAATAAACTAAGCAACAACAATAGCTTACAATTCCATTTTTATTTTGCTTTTTTAATGGATTTAAGATTTTTTTTTTGACACAATGTCTACTTTTTCTTGGAATTAATTATGGAACAACCTGACCCTTTTGATGAAATATTTAAACATCACATTTTAAAATATCTGAGCCCAAGTTCGCCACGTCAGATTTTGTTTTTAAGTTCTCTTGTAGAAATATTGCATTAGACTTTAGAAAGCCCAACAAAATTACATGAATTCGGTGGCCAATGTTTGTCCCTATTTCGTGAAATTAGTCCCCCGAATATTTTGTTAAATAATGATTTTCAGAGTCTATTCTATGTCAACATAAAAATAAAAATTATTTTAAAAATTTCAATGTATTTTTTAACATAGGTACCCTGGATTGGGTTGGAAATAGAAAAAAAATTATCATGCGTTTTACAAAAAACATATTTCCTATTTTATAGAAACATTTCATTAAAAAAAAATATAATTTAAATTGAAGTCTAAATAGAAACAAAATAAGAATTTACATTTGGTTTTGCATGACGAGAGTTCATAAACACTAAAAACAATTTATGAAGTATTCACCTACTCGGCTGCTGCATGAATTCTTTCCGTTAATGCTTCACGATCATAAGGGAGATAATCCGTCCATCGGTGTTGGGTCAGGTGACCTTGCAAGGAACCTAACTGGACCGAATCTTTCCATCCACTTTTTCCTAAATTGATTTAAGAACCAAAAGAATTGAATGGGCTCGTTTCATTCGAGCTGGGTATCCCTCTTGCGTGTCTGATTTCATAAAATTTACAACATAATTTTTTAATAAATCTTAATAAACATGTTCATTTCAATTTTCTTTATTAAAAAAATTGGCTGAAAATTGTATTAAATTCCGCACCAAACATTAACTTATACTTCCTTTCTGCAATACATAATTTTAATTTTAGACTGACTATTTTGAGAGGACACATGGCGGTTTGTACAAATTTGTGCATTTATGCTCTTTTTTTGAGAAAAAATCGGTATTAATTTTATGATTAAACCATAAGGTTATGTTTTTTAAAAATATATATATTTTTTAAATTGGTTAATATTTGTGGAAGATATACGCTAATTACTAAAACCACTGAACCCTGCCTGGTCTAGTGTCTAGTATTGTAGTGACTAGTGACTAGTATTGTATCTTACGAGTAGAATAAAAGGGTTGGTAAGTATCAAAATAAGACGAATATAAATGGACACTTAAGTGTTTTTCTACTGGTATGGAACAACATTTTGTGACCAATATTGTTCCATACCAACAAGGTTGCTAAAAACCAAAATAATACGAATTTAAGACGTCATTAAATGACGGTTATTGTACGAACTCATCTGGTACCAAAATAAGACGAATATAAGACGTCATAATATGACCGCTATTGTACGCAATCATCTGATACCTTTTATTTATTTTTAATATATATATACATACATATATATATACATATATATATACATATAAACGGTCATTGTGCAGCCCATTCTATATACAAGCTATACTCTGTGTAGCCCGAAATGACTTTGTGTGGCCCACTCCCGGGCTGAACAACGTTTGACGTTATTTCAACGCTAATCGATTAATCACGGTGTTGGGAACCCCAGGTTAAATTTTTGGCAGGGCTTAACAACGACCGGTTTAGCCATAGTTACATACAGAATAGTTCATTGAATTTAACTATAGGTGGCGCGCTGTAGTAAGTGTATCTAGAATAGGAATCCTAGATATCTTACGGTTCTTGTGTAGCCCTAAATCCGGCAACACTGCAAACACAAATTTTTCGTAGGAAGATATTATTTAATATCAAGCAGTGAGCAGAGTTTTAACGCTGCCGCGCGCTGTAAGTTCGATACCGCGACTTAGTCAGAGATTTATTCGAATACTTTTAATTGTTTTTATTACTTAATGTATTATAGAATGTGCACAATGAGCTTTATTTTTTATTAAAAATTCTTTTTAAAAATATAAAAGGCAAAAAACATTAATTGTAAAAATTATTCAAAAGCTTTTACTGGTAGAACATACATACTTTATTAAGTTGTAATAAGCAGTTTAAATTTAATCACTTAATCAGACTTTATAACTTTTTTAGTTGAATGTTTTAAAAATAGAAATATTAAAATATTTTACTAAAATTGGGCATATTTTTAATTAGAAATAATCCATAAGGTACACACTCTAATAATCCAAAATTTGAAGATAATTTTTTTTTATTATGTTGTAATAAGTGGATCAAATTTCAACACAAAGGCTTTATATATTTTTTAGGAATTTAAAAAATTAGCTAAACATGTCTAATTTGAAATATCTTTCGGAAAACATTATTTTATTGTGTTTTATTTAATATATTAGGCCTGTTAGAACCAAATTAATTTGTAAAATAAAAATAAATAAAATCATAAAATAAAATAAAATTTCATCGTATTTTATTATTTTAATGTGCTTGTTTTAAAAATAGCCAAAATATTGCGATTAGTCCTCAATCGGGTAAATTTTTAATCAAAAACATCTCAGAAGGGAAAAAATTCAAAATTTTGCGATTTCTCCAAAATCGGGCTTTTTTATTCTAAAATATCTCAAAAGGTACTAACTTAAAATCTAACAATTTCAGAAAAAAATTTTTTCATTTTGTTGTAATAGGTAAGTAATTTAAATTTCAATGAAATTATTTCATCAGTATACTATAGCACTTTATTAGTTTTTTCTATTTTCTTATATACTTTCTTATATATTATAATAAAAGTTTTTTGTTTAAAGCCAGTATTATTATTTTTTGAAAAACGCAGATTTTTGACAAAATTAATTAAAAATAATAAAAATTTCATCCTATCTTTTAAGTTTAAAACCAAATTTTTTTATATAAAGTTTAATTAAATCATATCAATTTACGATTTTTAACTTTTATATTCCCACTTTAATGGGTGTGAAATTTCACGAGGGAATTTTAAAAACAAAACAGCATAACATAATTAATTTGTGCTGCATAAATCTACTAAATAATTTTGTTTTACTCAATGTAGCCAATTATAAGTTAAGGGTCCCTAGAATTTGCAAACTAAATACCCAAATTCCGAATAAAAAACATTAAATTGCACTAATTAAATAAATAAAATCTGACATCTGTCAAATGGTTAACCTAAGTTTTTATCAATTTTAAATGTTATTATAGTCGCCTTCTTCCAATTTAAACCCCGATTGGTTGAAATCACAGTGAATATTGATAACTGATGATAACAGTGATATTGATAACTGATGCCTAACAACGTGAATAATGAGTTTATTATTTACGTTGTTAGGCAGGAAATTTAAATTGTTTAACAATATTCACGGAAAAAACCCGAAATTACTGTACATTTATTTAGTTATACCTACTCTGCAGGAATAATGACAAAGTTTAATTGTATTAATTATTAAAAGTAGTTTTTTTTATAATATCCTAATTTTTGATAAATTTTGTAAAATTTATTTGTTATTTGGTTATATTTGTAATGTGACAAACTTTCTTAAATAAAAAACCAGGACATAACATCGCCCTTCCAAAAAATAAACAAAACTTATTTATTCGATGTTTTTATATGAATGGAATTTTTTTTGTAATTTCAAGTTAAAAGTGGATTGCATACTTTTTTGGGATTTGAGGTCGACATGGTAAGTCAAAATAATTTATGTTAGAAGTCTGCTAAAAATATACAAATGGTGATTATAATATTTAAATTTAATTTAATAAGGGGCAAATAAAATTCAATTAGGTAATCCTACATACCAGTAATTATTAGTATTTATTCCCAGACAATACGAAAACTGTTTTTAAAAAATAAAATGTAAAAACATTGTTTTAAAATAAGTAACAAAATGTAAAAACATTGTTTTAAAATAAGTACCAAAATGTAAAAACATTGTTTTAAAATAAGTAACAAAATGTAAAAACATTGTTTTAAAATAAGTACCAAAATGTAAAAACATTGTTTTAAAATAAGTAGGTAAGTAGATAAAAATGGTGACAGGAGCGAGCTAGATCAGATCACCTATATTAGAGATGTGCTAATAACGTCAATAATAAAAAAAGTACAAACCAGGACCAAATCTGCAAAACCAGGACAAAACCAGTACAAAATTGAAACTAGGACACATTAGCAAAAAGTTTGCGAAGCTTTTCATCTGCGGCAGTGCCAGGCAAAATGGTTGTTGACCAGTGTAATTAATAATTCTTACTTACCTTTTTTATCTTGTCGCAATGTGTAAACTATTATCGGGGATAATTACACAAGTGCTTAAAAATTATCGATAATTTTGCTTGAAAGCAAATTGCCTAAAAAATGCATGAGTTCATTTTCATATTTTGGAAAGAGACACCGAAGGTGGAGGGCTCTTTCCTCAAAATATGAAAATGACCGAATGCATTTTTTAAAGGGGGCAATATGCTTGAATGCAAAATTATCTGAATATTTTTATGCACGAGTGTAATTTGTTTAGATAATTATACGAATAAACTAATTAAATCAAAGAAAAACATTTTCAAATATTTTAATTTCAACACAAAACTTCATTTAACAAATACCTAATGTAAACTAAAAAAATTAATAATTACAAAAAATATGACATTTTAAATAACTGTCACATTAAAATAAAAACTGACGTTATTTTTATTAATTGCCATGGATACGTAAATACAATGGAATTATCGATTCCACAAACGGGATGCACAACGAACACAAAGTAAAACGGGATGCACAACGTTGAACGTATGAAGAATAATACGAAAATAGGCATTAAATGCAAATTTATGTCCAACAAAACAGGTGGATAGCGATGTTCTTATTGGACAATTCGTACGCGTTGGCTTGGTGAAAACCGGCAACGGTGCGGGCTAAACAAGAACCGTCTGCTTGGTT